TAGATAATATAGCCTCATGATTAAAAAACCAAAAGATATAAAAGGTTATATTATGAAAAGTCTCTTTCCTACCTGTCTCCTGCCATCCAGTTGTCCTTTCCAGGAGCAAGTGGACAGTTGATAATATTAGTTTCTTTTAAATTCTTCCAGGGATGTTTTCTGTGTATATAAGCAATGATATGTATGTATTAATACCATCACTTCTTACAGGAATGACAATAAGCAATATACATTAAGACCTTGCTTTTTCACTTAATAGATCTTGAAAATCATTCGATATCACTACATAAAGAACTTGCTTGTTCTTTTTTGTGGCAGCAGAGTATGTATTATAGGCATACACTACTATTTAACCATAATAAACAATTATGTTTTTCCAATCATTCGTTATTATAAACAAAGCTTGTTAGAAGTGGAATTTCTGAGTCAAAGGGAACGTGCTTTTAAAAATGTGAGGGGGCACCTAGGTGTCACAGTCGGTTGAGCATCGGACTCTTGGTTTCAGCTTAGATCAGCATCTCAGGGTCCTGGGATGGAGGACCCAAGGGCTCAGTAGGGAATCTGCTTGAAGATTCTCTCCAGCTGCCCCTCCCTCCACTCCAGCACATGCTCTCTTGCTCTTTCTCTCTCAAGTAAGCAAATCTTTGAAAAAAAATAAAAATAAAAATTTGATAAATACCACCCTCAAATTGTCTTCCATAGCTATTCCAGTTTATACGCCCACAAACAAAATAGAAGAGTTCATGTCAAACCGCTCCTGCCACCAGAGCATCTTATCAGGGTTGTAGTTTTTGACCAATCTGATAGATGAAAAATATCATTTCAAACAACTTCTAATTCGCATTTCTCTTTTTACAAGTAAGAGTAAGCATTTAAGAGCCATTCTATCTCTTTTTCTATGAACTATCAATTTATGTTTTTTCTATATTTTTCCCCTTGGATTCTTTTTTTAATTTTGTTACATAACATTTAGTGCAATATTGGTTTCTGGAATAAAGTTCAGGGGTTTATCATTTACATACAACGTCCAATGTCATCACAAGTGCCCTCTTTATTTTTTTTAATTTTTTAATTTTTTAATTTTAATTTTTATTTTTTTTTCTTTTAAAGGTTTTACTTATTTATTTGAGAGAGAGAGTGAGTGAGAGAGGGAAAGAGCATGAGCAGGGGGGAGGTGCAGAGGCACAAGCGGACTCCCCAGTGAGCGGAGAGTCTGGCATGCGGCTCAGTCCCAGGGACTCTGGACCTGAGTGGAAGGGAGATGCTTAACCAACTGAGCCACCCAGGCACCCTATCTTTTTTTTTCTTTTAAAGATTTAATTTATTTATTTGACGGGGGAGAGAGAGCACAAGTAAGCAGAGTAGCAGGCAGAGAGAGGGAGAAGCAGGCTCCTTGCTGAGCAGGAAGCCCAAAGTGGGGCTCGATCCCAGGACCCTGAGACCATGATCCCAGGTCGAATGCAGACGCCTAACCAACTGAGCCACCCAGGTGCCCCGAGTACCCTCTTTCTTACCCGTCACCCATCTAGCCCGTCCCCTACCCATCTCCCCTGGTATTTTTGTTCTTCATGATTTCATGCTGTATATAAATATGAAAATTATTGATTTCCTATGAAATGAAATGCAAGCATGCTTATAGTCATTTGTCATTTTACTCTTTTTAAGGTGGTTTTGCCCTATAACCATTTTTTATTTCTACATAATTAATTTTGTCAGTCTCTTATAGCAACCACTTTTTTAAAAATATGTATTTTAAAAGTCCTTCCTCATTTTGAGTTTTTGAAAATTTCCCCCTGGTTCCATCAAGTATTTTTTAGTTTCATTTTTTTACATTTAAATTTTTGATATATCTGAAATTTATCTTGGTAAATAGTGTGAGGTGTAGATCCAAGTTAATTTTTTCTAGATGGCTATGCAGTTATTCTAACACCAAAAAATACTGGTTTTTTAAAAAGATTTTATTTATTTATTGCCAGAGACACAGACACAGAGAGAGAGAGTATGAATAGGCAGGGGGAGCAGCGGGGCAGAGGAGAAGCAGGCTCCCCGTTGAGCAGGAAGCCCCATGTGGGTACTCAGTCCCAGGACCCTGGGATCATGTCTTGAGCCAAAGGCAGATGCCCAACTGACTGAGCCACCCAGGGGCCCCACTGGCTGTGGAAGTGTTTAGAGGTTAGAGAAATGTGGAGAAGCCAGAGCAGCCAATGAGACAGAAGAAGATCCAGGGGAGTGGAATGCCATGATAGCCAAAGAGGAAGAAATGATCAGCTGTGTCTAGTGCTCATGGTAGTAGGTCAAGTAAGAGCGAAAACTGATGTTTTTAAATTATGTCACTGGTGGCCTTGATAAGAGCATTTTGGTAGAGTAGTAAGAGGATGGGTCCACAAACTACGGGGGAAAGGAAGTCAAGACATCAAGGAGCACAGTACAGGCCACCTTTATGAGATGTTTTGTTGTAAAGAAGGGCAGAGAAATGAGGCAGGCTGGAGAGACAGGCTGAGAGCTGCAGAGTCGAGCTGAGTCAAGAGAGGTATTTCCATTTTTTGTTTTTTTCTGAGATGAAAGAAATAAGTCTATGTTGGTATGTCATTGGGAGAGAAAAACAGAATGATGATGTAGAAGATAGGAAGAATTGCTGGATAGATGTCTTTGAGGATATGAAACCATGTGGGACTTAACACTGTGCTACTGAAAGTGTGATTTGTGGTCTATGGATGGTCTCTGAAAAGCTTCTTACCAATTTATGGTAGAAATTGAGAGTAAATATTTAGAAGCTTTTTAAAAAAAAGGTTTTATTTATTTATTTTAGAGAAAAATAGAGAGTGTGAGTGGGGGGAGAGGCAGGAGATGAGGGAGAGAGAGAATCTCAAGCAAACTCCTTGCTGACCATGGAGTCCATCGTGGAGCTTGATCTCATGACCCTGAGATCACTACCTGAGCCAAAACCAAGAGTCGGACACTTAACCGAATGAGCCACCCAGGTGGCCCTAGAAGCTTTCATAGCAATTTAACAGAAAAACTTTGTCTGTGGAATTTATTTATTTATTTTAAATATTTTATTTATTTATTTGACAAAGAGAGAGACTGTGAGAGAGGAAACACAAGCAGGGGAAGTGGGAAAGAGAGAAGCAGGCTTCCTGTGAAACAGGGAGTGACCTTGGGCTCAATCCCAGACGCTTAATGACTGAGCCACCCAGGCACCCCTATCTGTGGAATTTAATAACAAAAAGTCTGGCATAGAGTTGTCAAATTCATAGATATGGGAAGTAGAGTGATGGCTGTCAGGGCTGAAGGAGGAAAGAATAAGGTGATTGTTTAATGGGTACAGAGTTTCAGTTTTGCAAAATGAAAATAGTGTAGGAGCTGGTTGGTGGTTGGTGGCAGCACAACAATGTGATTAATGCCCTTGAACTGTACTTTTAAAAATGGTGAAGATGGTAAAAAAATGATCCGGGCTTGCATTTGGTACATCTGTTTTAAAATTTAATTTGTTTTAGTAATTAGTTTTTATAGCATTTTACAAAAATTGGGTTTGAGATCAGAGGGAAAAAAGTCTTTTAGCACAGGTAGTTTGAGAAGTGCTAAGAAGAGTTTGACCTCAGTTAAAAGTCAAGTGTTCATGCCTACTAAGGAAAGAAAGGCAGAATATAGCAGCAGAAATATAGGAAGAGCAGTTAAAGATAGGCTGGAAATCATGGTAGCTGTGGATGTTCTCTCTCAATCTCTCTCTCTTTCTCGGCTTCATTTTCTCAGTGAATTAGTAGCAAAATCATCAGTTAAGTGAGGATGAGGGAGGAAGGTTTGAAAAGAGATATGAAATAGTCATCTAGTACGATGGGACAGTGTGTGGAACTGGAGAAATGTAGATAAGCATTAGGGGCCTATTTGAGGATAGTAGGTTATCAGATTTAAAGAGAGCCAAGTCAGTATGATTCTGGATTTTTCTCCACTCTCCTCGGTTTTGCTGCAGGTTTTAGGATTAGAGTTTCATCAGGTGAGCACAAGGAAAGGAGAGCAGGATTGGAGAAATGAATGCTAATAGCTAGTAATGATTTTCTTTTTTTTTTTTTAAAGATTTTATTTATTTATTTGACAGAGAGAAATCACAAGTAAGCAGAGAGGCAGGCAGAGAGAGAGGAGGAAGCAGGCTCCCTGCTGAGCAGAAAGCCCGATGTGGGACTCGAACCCAGGACCTGGGATCATGACCTGAGCCGAAGGCAGCGGCTTAACCCACTGAGCCACCCAGGCGCCCCACTAGTAATGATTTTCATGATGGATGACAATGTAAACTCAAGGACGTTCAAGGGCGAAGTGAGGATATAAGGGCCATGTAAGGAATAGTGAAAAGCTAGTAGGAACAGTGGATTTTGAGTCTTGCAGAAGGTGAAGTTTTGGATTTGGGTATTAGAGGAAGAGAGCTAGAAATGAAGTGGGTGGTGATGGGAGAGTGGGATGATTAAAATTGAGATTATACAGGGGTTACAATTATTGGTAATGAGATCTAAAGAAAGAGCATGGAAATGAGAAGCTGAGGCAAGGGTGATTCCTAGTGGAGAGGAACCTGAGATATGAAGGCATTGAGAGAATTATCTAAGAGAACGGAAATCACCAAGAATTATGACAATGGTAACGAATGACAATGGACAGGAAAAGCAAGTGTCTATAGATTACCGAAAGGAGTAAAGGCTCCAATCTCCTGCTATGACGTAATACCTAAAGCTCTTATTTTTAGAGGGGAGCTACGATTTGAGGGGGTGTCTCCTTTAAAGGCCAGGCGCCGGGAGGCTACTCCTGGAGTCTGCGCAGTGAGGAGGGGGCGGGACCAAACGCGATCGCCGGGGGGCGGGTCTCACGGGGTGGAGTCTGCGCTCCGGGTCGGGCTGCGGCTGCGGCTGCGGCGGCTGCACGTCCAGCTTCTGAGAGAAGGAGGCCGAGGCCTGGGCCAAGCCCGGAGCCGCCGCTTCCCGGAGCCTCCTGGAGCCCCCGCGCCGGCTCAGCCTGGGGGCGGGCTCAGGCCCGGCCCGCCGCCGAACCCAGGACAGAGGCTGCACGTCCGAGGACCAGGCCGGCGCAGCCATGGTGAGGGAACGAGGCCTGCCCGAGCCGCAGCCGCACGCCGCCCTAGCCCCCGCGGCCTGCCCCTCCCTAGCTCTGGTGCCCCCTCTGCCCTCTGCCTTTACCTCATCCCCTTGTTACTGTCCCCCTCGGCGCCCCGCTTCTCCTTTCCCCTGTTCCCCGTCCACCTGCTGGGGTGACATCCCCCCAGCTCTCTCCTCGGTGACACCCTTTTTTTAAATCACCCCCAGTGACAGCTTCTTTCGCGTTCCCCTTTGCCGCCCCCTCCTCGTCCTTTAACCCGACCTTCCTTTTCTTCCTCTGCCATTTTGCTGCTTTATCTCATTTGGGATCTCTGTACCTCTCTTCTTCCTAATTTTCGTCCTGCTCTTTGCTCTCGCTTCTTAAACCCTTTCATTATTTTATCTCCACTGCCCCCTCCTCTCCGTATCCTTTCTCCCCTTCGTCCTCTACGAGCCACATTTCCTCTCCCCCTTAATCGGATGTCCTTTCTCCCCCGCTCTCACAGCTGTCCCCATTTCCTTCTAAGGCTTCAGGGGTCTATGCAGGAACAATTTGAGGGCGATTGCTTCCCAGGAGCAGTGGGGCGGGCAGATACGGATTTGTAAGCTTTCTTCTTTTTATTTTTTGTAGACGGGAAGGGAGATGGGAAGTATTGGTGAGAGCCTGGACTCTATTGCCTAGTGTTATTGCAAAACCTGGGTGATAGTGTGTTTTGGACTGAAGCATGGGGTGACGGCCAGCATCCGTCCTATGACCTTTTGAGATATCTAGCCTTTGACAAATAATTAAACGTGTTTTGAAACGTATTTTTTATTTTGAGCGCCTTTTAATGGGGAGGTACATACAGCTTGGGAAATTAAAAAAAAAAAAAAATGTACTTGCAGGCTTAACCATTACTCAGAACAAAAGGTTTGTTTTTGTTTGGAGGCAGAGACCAGGGCATCTGAAGACTGAAAATCAGGTTGGCGGTCCGATTGTTCCAGTTTTCTTTAATACCTTCTAATACCATCGTTTGTTTTGCTCTCCCTGCCTTTAGTTGAGAGATCCTTATATTTGCAAATTTTCTCCTTCCTGTTTAAAAAGAAGTTGAGGCTTCAGTTGGTTTTTTCAAGAGTGGGGTTACACATGGTTTGCAGTACATTTAATAAACGCTTTGCTGATCATATCAGCAATCTAAATTTTGGTCTCTGGGAGGAGAAAGATATTCTGGTTAAAACTAAGTCCTGGTAATCATGTTCTAGGAGGTTAGTAAGGTTTTGTTTTTACCCCATTCATTTTTTTAGGAAAGTGGTTTGTTGTAAAATCTTTTCATCTGTGAACTTTGTCTAACTGACTGCATTGTTAGGTGGTTCTTCTGTGTCTGCCTCCACAACAGCCCTTCACATACACAGTCTATCACACTGCCTTTGTGGGGTAACCTGCTTCTCCTCCTGAACTGTGGGGTTTTTCTAGGTGGCAGTTGTGCCGACTTACTCCTGTTATTCCCAGTGCCCAGGCCATGTACATGCTTGAGTGATTCATTTTGTGTTCTCCTATGATCTTAAACTGAAATTTGAGACAATTAGGGAACTACATGGAAAGAGTGAGTTGGAGAATTTTATTTTTGGTACAAAAAGTAAATTTAGTAAGATGTGATGATTTCTTTAGAATAAAGTAAGCTGTTCTGCCTAAGACACCAAATTTCTAGGTTTTTGGAAGCATTGGCTATCCCACTGAGAATAAATGTATGAGTAGAGAGGGAGAAAACTTAAACTCTTGCCGGGTATTTAGGATCCAAAGGTGTCATTTGAGCTGGGCCAGAAAGATGAATATGATTTATATAGATCATTTTGGAAAGGCAAAGACTGCTTTCTTGTGAATATGAGTAGAAAGTAATTGAGATGTATTGTAGGTAACAGATTACCTTTATTTAGCATGGAGAGATGAGGAAATGAGAATGTATAGTAGGAAATGTGACTAGAAAGATATATTACGTATGACTATAATTTCGACTTTGCTTGCAGCTAATTTGATTTTCTTCACTTGTTAAAACACATACCGGCAGAGTAAGAGTGTATGTCTGGGAGAAGTGAAGAGAATGCAAAGTATTAGCTTATTATGAGCTGAGAATTACCTAGAGGCTACTGTTTTCTACTTCCGTCTGCAATATATGTAGTAGGCACTCAGTAAATAGAGTTAAACATTATTATAAAGCTTTGTAGTTTAGTTTTCAAAATTTTCATCGTTATGTTGTGTTTTGAATACTTAAGATGTCTAAAACAAGGATTCTCAGACTTTACCATAAGTCAGAATCAACTGGAGGTTTGTGCCACCACTTCCTGAGTTTGATTAGGTTGGAGTAAGGCCTCATAGTTTGCATTTCTAACAAGTACTCATGTCATTTTGATGTTCCTGTTCTGTGACGAACACTATGAGAACCACAGCTTTGAGATGTAGTTCTTACTTTTTATTTATTTATTTTTTTTGAGTGCCATTGACTTTTGGCACTGGGGATATTACAAATAATAATAGATATGATCCCTGCCTTTTTGTATATTGTGTGTGTGGACAATCTAAACATTAAGCAAAAAGAGTAATTTTATTTTACTTTATTTTTTTAAAGATTTTATTTATTTATTTGACAGAGAGATCATAAGCCGGCAGAGAGGCAGACAGAGAGAGAGAGGGGAAAGCAGGCTCCCCGCTGAGCAGAGAGCCCGACGCGGGGCTCGATCCCAGAACCCTGGGATCATGACCTGAGCCGAAGGCAGAGGCTTTAACCCACTGAGCCACCCAGGCGCCCCAAAAAGAGTAATTTTAAATGCAAAGCGTACGGGGGCCTGTGCATGGTTCAGTTGTTTAGCCTTTAGCTAAGGTTATGATCCCCAGGTCCTGGGATCAAGCTCCACGTTGGGCTCCCTGCTCAGCAGGAAGCCTGCTTCTCCCTCGCCCTGCTTGTGTTCCCTCTCTCACTGTGTCCCTCTCTGTCAAATAAAAATAAATAAAATCTTAAAAAATAATTTTAAAAACTGCAAAGCGTGCTAACAAAGGAAAAGTTGTGGGATCATGGTATGGGATAGTCACGGCTGGCTTCTTAGGATTTTACTTTTAGGAAGAAAACTGAAAGATTAAATATAGGAGTTGGATTGTGGAAAACCAGATAGAATGGCACAGTGAATGATCTGTGGTGGTACCTCTCTTTAGCCTGCTTAACTCTATGTATCCTGGAGTTCTCAAGGAACTCAGGGAAACCTCATCTGCCTTGCTTACCCCTCAAAAAAACCCCTAAGTTACACCCTATTATGTATCCCTCTTTCATAGAATATATATCAATTGTAATTATAACGAGAAGCAGCCACATGTGCTAAAAAGAAAGAAATCAGGGTAAAATATAAAGTGACATTGTATAGTTAACCCTTGAACATTGCCAGGGTTAGGAGCATCAACCCCTGTCCCAGTATAACTTTTACCTCCTCAAAAACGTAACTACTGATAGCCTACTGTCGACTGGAAGCCTTACCAATAACATAAATAGTCAATTAATGCATACTTTGTATGTTGTATGTATTCTAAACTATATTCTTATAAGAGAAAAAAATGTTACTAAAAAAACATAAGGAAGAGAAAATACATTTACAGTACTATACTGTAAAAAATCTGTGTATAAGTGGACCCACACATTTCAGACCTGTACTGTTTAAGGATCAAAGGTATATGAGTGTGTGGCAACTATTTTAGATAGTATGGTTAGTCTAATATTTATTGAACATGGTTGTGTATTTTCAGTGCTGTTTTAAGTGCTTTATATATTTTACCTCATTTAATGCTCATAGCAACCCAATGAGAGAAAATACTAGCTCTGTGAAGTAGAGACCATGTTTATTTGGCTCACCATTTTATCTTTAACACTTACATAGTACCTGGTGCATTATAAATGCTCAATAAATATTTGTTAAATGAATAAATGACTTTGGGGATGATCAGAAAGTTAGGGAGGCATTGTTGAAAAAGGGACATCTGAATTGGAGGTTTTAGCTAGTGGAGTTTTATTGGTTAAGAGTTTGGGAAGGAAGACCATTCTAGGCAAAGGGACCAGTTTGAGCATAAAAACTGGGACCAAAGCAGGCATGATGTGTTCTAGGAAGTGGGTGGCTCTAGGATAGAGGGTACAGGAAAAGATGAGACTAGGTGAGCCTAGGGTCAGATCATGGAGGACCTTGAGTTATAGGCTTATGAGTTTGGCCTCATTGGAAAGACCTTCTTGTGTGAAGGAATATCATAATTAAGAGATTTTGAAGGTTATCACTCTAAATCAGTATGAAACCTGTTTTGGTGTGCGAAGAACTATTGCAGTACTCTAGCTGAAAATAAGTGTGTGAACGTTCACCTTAGGCTTATTATGGTGGTGGTGATTTAAACTAGAGGAAGGAAAATAAAAGGAAATAAAATACAAAGTTAGAGTGGTGCCAGAATACACTACTTTTTGGCGAAGTATATTTTCCCTAGAGGCATTACTATGGAGTTGTAGAAGCACAGAATCACTAACAGCTTTGCAATTTTGCTCACTGGGCTTTAGTTCTCATATATATTGCTGTTAGGGATTTATGAAAATATTAAAGTAAATTTACTCTACCAAAGTCCTTTATTTACAAATAGTAGGTCTCCCAAAGGTCATATATTAGGTCCTGTAAAAAGAGTCAGCGCTTCCCAACTTACTTGTTTTTTTTTTTAAATAGATTTTGTGTGGTATAAGGAATAATTTTAAGTAAAATGTACTTAATTTTTAAATTACTTACATAGTTCACTAATAATATATTGAACAAAATATATTAAAAGAAGTTTCAGCCTTTTCCTGTTTAACAAATGACACATTAATGTAAGAGAAAGCATTATTTGTCATATTTTCAAATGAGTATATATTACAATGTAGATTGAAATTATGTTTATGGCATCAAAATAGATAAGAACTGACTTTTTAACCTTAAATTTGAAACTCTGGCATTTTTGTACTTAAAAAAATC